CTTCCTGCGCCGAGCACAATCCTCATTGCGAGGATTGGACGTCCACGTTTGTCCATCGACAGAGATGGGCGCGCTAGCTCCGGGCATGAGGGGCGGATGTTGGCGCTTGTTCATCCATCCAAGCTAATGCGGCTTTACTGAACGCCGCCATTGAGGTAGGTTGCCAACCCCTGGGCTAGACTCGAACTGAGGCGCAAAACTCGAAACGAAAACGGCGTCGAATGGTTTCCCCAGCTGACGTGATATCGAGACTTACCGGCGGCGGAATACGGACATCCACCACTCATTTGGCACAGCAGGGACTCAGCTTCCTAATCGGTCAACGTTCATGGCGGAGACTTGAACGGTCGCCTATCATAACGGCGACCTACTCGGCCACCCCTCCCTTCTGGAACATGATCGGTCGCCGACCACGGCGGGGGCTTAGCCGGTCACCGCAATTGCGGGGCTTCTGCGGTCATTCTTTATAGCGGTGATTCGGTGCTCGTATCGGTTAGTCGTCAAAGCGAAGACCCCATCGGTCATTCCTCATAGCGACGACCTTGTCGGCCACATTTAATTGGAATCATTGTGGAATTTCTTTCGCTGCGGATTCTCTGGCATCGATTTGCATCCCTGGGCTCCCACACGGCTTTTGCCCAAAATGTTCCGGATGCCCAGCGAGATTCTTATTGCGAGGGCCGGAGGCCCATAGCAGTCCATCAACAGAAACGGCCATCCTAGCCTCAGGCATGAATTGGCACCCACGATGACACTGACTACTGGGCGCCGTCGGGGGCGAAAATGCCGCGCCCGCAGCGCCAATATAGCCCGTTCCACGGCCACTGATGCGGACCTAAGCTATCTGCCCCCAGCAGAACTCGCAATGCGACAGCGGGATACCAATAGATCTGCTCATCAACAGAGATTGGCGCCCTTGCTGCAGGCACGAGAGGCGGGTGCCCGTGCCAGTCCATCGACAAGGATGGGCATCCAGGCCCATGCGGGCCGACCTCCCTGGGGAGGGCCGCGCCTGCCCTAAATGTGAGGTCGCGAGATCCCAGGCCACCATCGCCAAGCCGTTCAGTGGATGAGGGGCTGCTCAGGGGGTGCTCCTCTAGTCCAGAGAACTCTCACTCGCGCCCCGCGCGTCCCCTGAGCGGATCCCCTGACCCAGGAACGAATGGCGCAGGCACGGGGAGGAGGAGGAGGAGGAGCAGGAGGAGGAGGAGGTAATGTAATGTAGATGGGGAAGGGTGGGAGGAGGGGAGGCTAGGGCTAGGAGGAGGAGGAGGAGGAGGAGGAAGAGGAAAAAGACAAGGAGGTGGGAAAAGGGGGGAGGATGAGGTGGAGGAGGAGGGGGAGGAGGAGGGATGTGCAAGGGGGGAGTGAGGGAGGAATCAGGTGGGAGTGTGGGGCAGAACAAGAGGAGGGAGGAGGAGGTTGGGGGAGGATGAAGAAGTTGGAGAAGGTGGACAAGCGAGGATGAGCTATCATGAGGGGTCCATCGTCGCCACGACTGGACTCGCCTCGCAGTCCTTCTCAGGATGGGGGAGAGGAGGTGGATGAGGATGTTGAGGAAAAACGGACGAGTTGTGATGAAGATAACAACGACGACGCCGACGACGACGACGAGGACGACGAGGACGACCACAAGTTTCGGATGATGAGGAGGAGTGAGGAGGATCGAGGAGAAGCATGAGAGAGAAAACCTATAGCGCGAACGAGGAGCTGGTAAGGCAGACCACCTCCATGACCTCAGCTGGCTGGAGGAGGAGGCGGGAGGAATAGCTGTTCCTCTGATCCATGAGCTTGTACCATATGTCGGGCATGTGCGATACCTCAAACGGCATACGTGGACGCATGCACACGGAAGTGTGTGATACAACGCATGAGCGTGTATATATATATATATATATATATGTGTGCATCAAACAATCGTTTGGGACTAGGTGTTTTGGATTCCCAGATCCCTTATTTGCGTGAGCGTTGTTTTGCTTAAATGTTGCAGCGTTATTCCTTGTTGATCGCTTCGTGCTGCCCGATGGTCCATACTCTCGGTACTGCTTCATTGTTTGCCTTTGCTTATTTCATCGCTTGCGTTGAGAAGGTGGTGAGTGGTGGTCGCTTTCCTAAGCTGTCGCGTGAACCTCGTTCGTGGGTAGAAACAGTGGCGGGGTAGTTGCAAGGCAACGCTCAACGGAGCATGCCCCCACCGAAGTTCCGTCAGTGCATGTCTCCACCGTGTTTGGTTCACAGGTCTGAGGCTTGTTGCACGCTTCTCGGGTTCGCTTGGGATGCCCCTCGAGGGCTGCTTGGAGGCTTGAGGCCTTCCTGGGGCCTCTTGGAAGCCTCTCTGAAGCCTCTTGGGGAGTGTTTTGACGCGAGTTGGGGCCTCCTCGGGGCTTATCGGGGGCTTCGGGGGGCCTGCTGGCAATCTCGGAGGCCCTCTTGGGGGCCAGCTTGGGGGGTCGTGGGTCGTCTTGGGGCCCTGCTGCGCCAAATTGGGCTCTCGTGAGGGCATCAGGGGCCGTCTTGGGCGATCTCGGGGGCGTCTTGGGGCTGACGGAAGCTCTGACAAGCGAGAACGCTGATTTTTGTTTTAACACCTCAGGCAAACCATCGCTTGTTGCATATGGGGGCCCTCTTGGGCTGAAGTTGGGGCGTGTTGGGCCGTCCAGAGGCCATCCTGGGCCGTACACCCGGAACCTCTCACAGGAGATTCCACGTCGCTTTTGGCCCGTTGGGCCGACGAATTCTGTAAATTTCGGGGGCGGGCCACGATCCGATATCTTGTTAACGCTTCCTTGCGTCATGCTGACAAGAAGCTTCTTCCGAACGGCGGAGATTGTCTGGCACTTGCAGACCAGCAATGGACAGAGCTTGAACACGGGTTTCTCGAGACGCGCGGCTGATCGATGCGGCGTTGCGCGAGCATCCGAGGTGGGGGGGTCCCATGACCCTGGGTGAAGGGGGGCGGAACATATTGAGGTGACATTGGCCACGTACCGCGTAGTTTCGGCTCTGCCCTTTGCGAACTGCGAGCGTTGCCCCATCCGCAACCTTGCCGTAGGCCTTGAGTAGAGTGTTCTCGGGTGTTATGGAGCATTAGAGATGTCACAATGCATTGAGCATTTTAAGTTCTAGGGCCACAGACCCCCAACTCACGGGATGCTTGGGCGCTCTTTGGCACTTGTGCAGCTTATGTCGTGATTTTTGTCCCCGAGGTCTCAGACGCGATTTGGGGAATCCAAGGGGTCTTGGGAGCCCTTCCTCGCATGACGCCCTGCTTGTTCTTCCTCCATGAGTCCTCCTCTCCTCCTCCTTCCTCCTTCCTCCTCCTCCTCCTCCTCCTCCCTCGTCCTCCTCCTCCTCCTCATCCCTCCGTTCTGCGCACCTCGTGTCGACACTGGGCTCGCACACGCTGTCGTCGGCGGTCTTGTGATCGAGGCACCCACCACCTGCAGGTGCGCTTCCCTGAGCAGTCGAGCCTCTGTGCAAACCCTGCCCACCACAGGCTGGACAACTGGCATCCGAATCGTCGCTACTGTCAGTCGCCATTACTGTTGTCCTGCCCCCGCCTTCATCGTCGAGTGGAGGACGGTGCCGCTCGCGAGGCCCTTCAGCCGTCTCACCGTCTGCCTCGCCTTCCTTGGTATTAGGTGGCCGTCTTGCAGCCCGATGTGCGGGGCCTATTTCGATCCGATCGATCCGATTCGTCGTCTGACCGGCCAATCCGATTCAACTCCGATGTTACGATGATCCGATGCGGCCCGATGCTTGCAAAGCGCTGTTGTGCACCTGGCGCAGCCGATCCGATTCGATTTCGAGTCCGTGCCGATGCAGCCCGATCCCATGCACATCTCGATTCGACCCGATTTGCCAATTCGATGTTGGCTGATCCTGACTTGGGCCCTCCCGCGCTGAGCGATCGCCAGCGCACGACCGAGGGCTTGCCCCGACGGGGAGCCGGGGGGAGAGGGCGGCTGACTTTTAGCTCGCGTCGGCTGCTGCCTTGGCTTGGCTTGCCTCATCGTCTGTCGGCGGCGCGCCCAGGGGACAGTGGCAGAGGGAGCGGGCCGTCTCGGGGCAGGCGCAGGCGGCCGCGGGCCTTCTGAGAGGCTTGCTCTGCCTCCTCCGAAGACACTGGTGTCTTTCCTTACTCTCGTGAGTCCGCGGGTGTACAGAGGCCTGCCTGCTCTTGCATCGGCACAGGGCCGCTCGGGCCGACTGCGCGGATGCGGGCGAGGGGGGCTACAGTCGCCGCGGATCCTCCTGTCTCCTCGCCCTCATTCCCCCACCCCCCCGGCCCCCCCCCCTTTGCGGCCGCCTCCTCCTCGTCCTGCTCGTCGTCCTCCGCCTGTACCCTGGCATCCTCGAACGTGAGCAAAAATCGGGACGGGACGTTTTTGGCAGGCTTCTGCCTCCCGAGGGCCCTCAGCGGGCCCCAAGACCAGGAAAACCGACTCGGGATCAGAAGCTGGTCCCCATGAAGAAGTTTGGATTCCTGGTGAGCAACGTTGTCAAAACTCACAACGGCGGTTGTGTGGGTCCTTCCTCGTTATTCCGCGGGGGCGACCCGTTCGCAGGCGGGCCAGTTTCTTAGCTACCGCCTTGCCGCCGCCGCGTGGAGAACTCATTTTGCGAGGTGTCCCTCTTAGTTTTCTAGGTCACACGCAGGGGCCGAAGATGAGCTCACTTCGCGGGGCGCGGTCTGTGTCTGGGATCTGATTTTATTCCTGGGGGCGAGGCGAGGGCGCGAAGATGACCGCGCGTCGCGCATCGCGGGGCGCGACGCGCGAAGTTAGTTGACCTAGGTTGTTGCTGATTTACGAGGGTTGGCATCCCAAGCGTACTGGGTCACCGTGGCGCAGAGCCCATGGTCTGAGATTGCTGCCTGCCGTTTAATAACAGACATTTGTGCTCATGGCAGTGTGCCCTCCCTCATTGCTCGACCTTCGATCCTCCGTCGACCCTGGCGTCGACGGCGGCGATGACGACGCCGCCGCCCTCCCCCAGAGGTGCTGTTCAAGGCATTCTTCCTCCTCGGCTTCACCCCGCTGGAGAAGATCTGAGCGCCCATATGCCAGATGTGTACAGCACTCTCTCTCTCTTTCTCTCTCTCTTTCTTTCTCGTGCCTCCCTCCTCTCCTCCGAGAAGGGTCCAGGATCGAGACTCTGGGCGCGGTATTTGTCCCCCCACGGACGCATGAACAGGATTTAGGAATTCGGATGATCACACCTTTGCAGTGTTGGTGCCTCCTGTGGTGGCCTCGGCTTGATGCAGCTCGAAGATCTGGCCAGGACGGATTCCAGGAGGCGTCCAGGGCTAGAGTTTAAGTTGATAGGAGAAAGTTTAAAGCCGACCCCGCCGACTTTGGAAGATGACTCACATATGCAGGAGGTGTGCTGAGGTGTTCGAGAAGGTTTTAAGGCTCCCAATATGTTTCCGAGCGTGCTACGAGAAGGTTCCGTGATGCGAAAGGTATTCGACAGGGATTCGGGGAGATGTCTTTCTCCTTTCTCTCCCCCTCCTCGTTGTTCTCATAGTCCTCGACCTCAAAGCCCCCTTCTCCATCGCTGAAACGTCCGCGGGGGCGCTGATTGAAAGGCCTCTCAGAGCACGAGCTTTTGTTTGGCCTTGCGCTGCCGACATCTTAGCTGATGATGAGTCATATTTATTATGAGGATGAAGAGGATAATCAAGATGATATGAAGGAAGAGCAGCAGGAGCAGCTGTAGAGGCAGGAGGGAGCGGGGCCCGTTCTCGGATTTCTCCTCTGTCCTGCCTCATCCGTCCTCGTTCCTCCTCCCTTCTCCCTGCTCGTCTCTGCTCATCCCTCCTCCTCCTCTTCCTCCCTGCTCCCCCTGCTCCCCATCTTCACGCCTGCTCATTTACTCCTCACTCCTCCCGTCCCCCCTTCGCTTCCATTCCCTCTTCCTCTTTCATGCGCTTGCGCCTCCCGTCTCATTCCTCTTCCCTCCCTTATCTTCTTCCCTCGTCCCTCCTTCCTCCCTTCTTCTCCCGCGTTCCCTTCCCTCCCCTTCTCCCCCCTGTCCTCCCCCATTCCTCCCTTCCCCCCCTCGTCTTCCATGACGGCGCCGCCCGGGGGGGGCCCAAGGCCGATCCAAGATATCCACGCGGATCTCCGAAACACTATGCAGTTGCAGTTGTCTTTCCTCCACCTGCGGCTCCTATCGAGTGCGAAGCTGAGTGGGGTTTAGGCGATACAGATGGGAATCCCCCATTGGTCGCCCCGTTAAACGTTGTTGGTTGCAGCCGTCGCGGAGGGACCCCGCCCCGCCCGACTCAGCTTCGCAGAAAGGGTTGTTACCCGGGGGCTCGACGCGTTGCCCGGCTTGGGCAAGTCCAGCCAACCAACCAATGTCTTTTCCTTTTTGTCTACATATCTCCTTCTTCTCATCCTCCTCCCTCCCCATCATCATCAGCATCATCATCCTCCTCCTCTTCCTCTTCCTATTCCTCCTCCCCCTCCCCCTTCCAGTTCCTGCTGTTGCTGCTGCTGTTCGTCCTCGTCATCCTCCTTCCTCATCCTCCTGTTCCTCCTGCTCATTCTCCTGCTCACAAGCCACCTCCCCCTGCCCCTCCTCCTCCTCATCCTGTGTACGCAGCTCCCCTTGTACGATTTCGCAGAACACGGTGGGGTATTCTTGGGAGTTCCAAGTCGGCTAAGACATGCGCCCGCGGACAGGAAAATACAGCGCAATGTGAAGGGACGGGAGGAAGAGATTGGATGTAAGGTATGGCGCGAGTGCACCCAGTTGATCTTCTTGCTTTATCCCTTCGCCCTCCATCCTCACTCCCTCCTCTCCGCCTCCTTCCCCCCACGTATCTCCTCCTCTTCTTCCTCATCCTCATCCTCATCCTCCTCCTATTCCTATTCCTCCTCATCCTCCTCCGCCGCCTCATCGTCTTCCTCCGCCTCCTCCTCCTCCTCGTCCTCATCGTCCTCCTCTTCTTCCTCCTCCTCCTCCTCCTCCTCCTCCTCCTCCTCCTCCTCCTCCTCCTCCTCTTTCCTCCTCCTTATCATCATCCTCCTGCGCATGCTCGTGCTCCTCATCCTCCTCTTCATCATCATCACCATCGGCATCATCAGCATCAGTATCAGCAGCATCATTATCATCCTCCTCCGCCTCCTCATCCGCCCTCCGCCCTCCCGTTTCCGTGGCCATTTTGGTTCAAGAGTTTTGTGGCTTGGGGTCCCCCCTTCCACCAACGGATACCGCTAGTCCGCGGCTGGCAGAGGGCTTGCCCTCGGCATTTCTTTCTCGTTCACGACCTCGGAGATCATTCTCCGTGCGTCTCAACCACGGCCATTCGTCCGCCATGCCGTGGGGTCAGCAGCAGGGTTTCGTCGGCAAGGGCAACAGCTACCTTCCTCCTGGTGGCTTGGGTGTTGGCTGGCCTCCTCTGGTTCCTGGTCCCCAACGTGGCGGTGCAAGTGGGGGAGACGTCCCATAGCAGCAGCATGCAGTCGGCAAGAAGTGGAAGTGCGAGGCTTGTGGTTGTTCGAAGAATGCTGCACGTTTCTACTATTGCAAGCATTGTGGTGCCTACAAGCCGCAGCTGCGAACGGTTTGGCAAGGCGATGTTGCGTTCAAACTCTTCGGTTTCGGCCTCTCCAACGGAGGCGCTGCGTGGGACCCCAAGGGCTTCGGCGAGAGCTCCTGTGGAGGCGGCGGCTACGGCAAGGGCGTCGGTGGTGGTCATCAAGTTCTTGGTGCTGGGGGTGCGGCAGCAGCCAAGCTGTCAGCTGCAGAGTACGAGACTCTGGCCAGCCTCTGCGACAAGATGGGCGACAGCCAGGCTGCTGCCGTACACCGTCGTGCTGCAAAGGCCCTCACAGCCCCGAAGAAGGAGCCCGAGGCCACCCAGGTGCGGCTCAACCAGACCCACTCCAAGATGCGGGGCGTCAACAAGCGCTTCGAGGCAGCCGTCGAGAAGCATGACGCGATGGCCACTCAGCTCGAGGCGCAGAAGGCAGCCGTCCTGGAGCTCCGCTCAGAGCTCATCAACGCTGAGGCTGAGCACAACGAGTTGCTGGAGGATCTGGTTGAGTCGCAACATTCGCACAAGCAGAAGCCTCACTCGTCCACGGTCAAGCTCTCTTTGCAGGATGTCATGGACCAGGAGAGGCTCGCGCAGGTGTTCGACATCAGTGCGCGCGACCTGTTCAAGCGCGATGGTCTTGACCTGGGCGAGGAGGACAGCATGGAGATCGAGGCGCGGGTTCAGCAGCTCAAGAAGGGCCTGTCGCCCATGGCGGTCTCGTTGATTGCTGAGGCCAAGCAGAAGGTTGACATGCTCAAGAACACGCATGCCCTGCACCTCAAACGGCTCGCCGCCAAGCGCAAGCGCACGGAGGACGAGCAGAGCGACGGTCAGCCTGAGGATCCCGAGGCGCCCACTGGACCCCCCGATGGAGCTGCTGCTGCGACGGCTTCGGACCCCCCCCCCCCCCTCGGACGCCGCAGCTGCGGCCGCTGAGCGCCCTGCGCCAGGGACACCTCCGACACCAGGAGCGACATCGGGGCCACCAGCAGCAGCATCGGCGCGCGAGCGTGCTGATCGCATGGCGGGTGCCCCCCAGAGTCAAGATTAATTCCCCCCTGGAGGCCAGATTAGTGGATCGCCTTTCGCTCGATTCGTCGGTTGATCTGGGCCCGCCGGTCCTTCGTTCGCGCAGTGGCCTCCAGGGGGGGTTCGGTTATCGCTTTGCTTTTCACGCGAAGTTTGTTTCCGCTGCGCAAGCTGCCCTCCTGGCCAAGGGAGCAGCTTGCACGAATCCTAAGCCAGGTCGGGGCCCCGCCCTGGCCCCCAGTGCTGCGCTGGACTTCTCGCTGCCAAGGGCCATGTACCCTGCGCTGTCCCCCGGTAAGCCAACGTGCATGGCTGGCGCGGGCGGGCCCCCCCCACGTCTGCCGCCGCGTTTCCCCGCCCCCGCGCTTCTTCCGACGCCATCGAGTTTACGGCCTCAGAACGCCCCGAGGGTTTAGAGAGACGCTTGGATTCGCAGAGCGGTCGCTTTGCCTGTTTGAAGCCCGCGCTGCACTCTGTCAGCAGCGTTAGCCCCCCGCCGCCTGCCCCACTTGTTGGCGACGAGCAGCCCGCGGCCTGTAGTCTGGACAAGCAGGTGCCTCTCACGATTCATACCATCAATGCCAACTCGCGGGGCACGCTGAAAGGCTTGGTGGAAGATTGCCCTGCCCACACTGTGCTCGCTCAGGAGCACCGCCTGGTTTCTCTTGAAGACATCGAGCAGGCCAACTCATGATGTATCAGAAGGGGGTGGAAATCGGTCTGGGCCCCTGCTATCCCTACGGTTGCCCAGGGCACTAGTGGGGGCGTTTCGATGTTCGTGCGCTCTTGGATGGGGCTTTCGGAGGTTGCCGATGCCATCTCAACGCCTGGGCGATGCATCGCGCGCTCTGCGCACATCCCTGGTTCCCCTCCGATTCTGGTGGCTCCAGCGTACCTTCACCACTCCGACGGTCTGAGCGATGTTAACCTGTCGATACTTGCCAAGCTAGGCGAGCAACTCTCGTCTGCGGGCAAGCCGCGGGTGTTCGGAGCCGACTTTAATTTCGACCCGACCCTGCTCGAGTCGTCTTCGTTCGTGGCAGAGTTGAGGGCGAGCCTCGTCTTCCCGTCTGCGGCCACGCACTACCCGTCTGGCCCCCCGACCACCTTCGATCACTTAGCGTGCTCTCTGGGGGTTTAACCCAAGGGGTCAAGTCGGTCGATGCGCGTTTGGACACAGAGCTCTCGCCCCATCGACCTGTTCAGTTGGTCTTCCACCCCCAGCTTGCTGCGTTTAAGGCCCTGTCCTTCAGGAAACCCTCCCCCTTACCTTCCCAGGTTGTTTTCGGGCCCGCTCAGATGGACAGCCGCTGGGAAGGAGAGCGCGCCTTGGCGGCCGAAGCTGAGAGATGCCTCAAGGAAAGGGGACCACGCGGGGGCCCGTCGTCTGTTGGGCCCTTTGCATCGTCGTTGGGCCAACCACGCCGAACGAGATTTGACCCCCCTGGCCGGCCCCCCCCCCCCCCCCCAGCTTGGCACGAGAGGCTTTGGCCCCCAGCTTGTTTGGGAATCGATCATGACGAAAGATGGGAGCGTGCGTTACCCAGGCCACCG